AACTACGTCTCCTCTTGGACGCAGAGAGGCGCGTGTGGCTCTCCCCTCCTCCGGGGCTTTGGTCCGAGGCCTCGCTGGGCCGGCGACTCCGCTGTCTGTCAGCGCGGACGAACAGGGCCTAACCGGTGACACAGCAGAAAAACGGAGAAAGAGGGAGAAAGACGGGGAGAGGGAAAGGGAGGTTGAAAGATGCGGGGGAGCAGAGAGGAGAGGGAGAATGAGGGGAAGAAAAAGAGGGAAAGGGAGAAGAAAGACAGGAAGATGGGGAGGGAGAAGGAGAGGGGAAGAGGGAGTGAGATACGGAGAAGGAGAGGGAGGGAGGAAAGGGTGAGAAGAAGACAAAGCGAGGGACAGAGAAAGGAAGAGAGAGCGCGAGAGATCAAGAGAGCGAGGCCGGATGTGGTCAAGTCACCTCTCATCCCAAGCCGGGATTGCGGCCAAACGCTCCCTCTTAGTGCGACTATTGAACTAACAACCCTCCGCACAGCCGCCCGCGCACGCCCACATCCATGCTGGCGACGGCGGGGGCAGCGCTGACCCAGGGCCCTAATCCAAAGCAAAGGGCAAGGACCTTTGACCGTTGCGTAAGTGAGGGCCGCGGCGGAGAGATGGCCGGCCAACGCATCCAAACAGGGACAATGACCTAACTGGGCGAGGGGAGGAGAGGGGAGGGTGAGGAGGGGAAGAGGATCCCAGGGGGCCCAGGGACCACCCGGGCCCAGCGCATGGCCATGGCGCCGGGAAGGAGAGGCTCGTCCGTGGCCACGAATATATAATCCACGACACTAAATTCTGGTCGTGAGAACCTCGGCCGAGAGGCGGCTCCTCTGATCGCTGGCGGGACGAGTCTCCTTTCTCTTCCTCCTCCTCCTCCTCCTCCTCCTTCTCCTCTTCCTCCTCCTTTTCCTCCAACTACTCCTCTTTTTCTCCTCCCCTCTTCCCCCTTCTTTTTCCCTTCCCCTTTCCTCTTCTTCATTTTCCTCTTCCTTTTTTCTTCATTACATCCACTCTTCTCCATCTCGTCCTTTTCCTCACCGACCTCTTTATCCATCACCTCTTCTTCGTTTTTCTCTCCTTCTTCTCCTCATGCTCCAACTTCTTTTTCTTCTTCTGCGCCTCTTCTTTTCTCTCCTCCTTCCTCCCCCCTTTTCCCTCTTCTTATTTTACATTTTTTCTTCGTTGTATCTTTTCTTCCCGTCCTTCTCTTCGACCAATTTATTCATCACCTCGTCCATTTCATTTTTTTCTTTCATACTTTCTTCTTCTTCTTTCTTCTCCTTCTCCTTTGCTTTCTCTTTCTATTTCTATTTCTCCTTCTCCTTTGCTTTCTCTTTCTATTTCTATTTCTATTTCTCCTTCTCCTTCTCCTTCTCCGTCTCCATCTCCTTTTCTATCTCCTCCTTCTCCTTCTCCACCTCCTCCTCTTTTTCTTCTTCTTCTCCTCCTCTTCTTCTTCCTCCTCCTCCTCCTCTTTTTTCCTCCCTCCATCTCCATCTTCCTCTTCATCTTTATCTTCATCTTCACCTTCATCTCCACCTCCTATTCCACTTCTTATTTCTCTTCCTCTTCCTCTCCCTCCTCCTCTAACTTTTCTTCCTCCTCCTCTTCTCCTTCTCCTTCTCCTCCTCTTCTCCTTCTCCTTCTCCTCCTTCTCCCTCTCCTTCCCCTTCTTCTTCTCATCCTCACCTCCTCCTCCTCACCACCTCCTTCTCCTCACCTCCTCCTCCTCCACCTCCTCCTCCTCCTCCTCCTCCTCCTCCTCCTCACCTCCTCCTCCTCCTCCTCCTCCCCCTCCTCCTCCTCCTCCTCCTCCTCTCATCCTCCTCCTCTCCTCTTCCTCAACCTTCTTCTCTTCTCCTCCCTTTTCTCCTCTTCTCTGCCTCCCCCCTCGTCTCCTTTCCTCCTCCCCCACCCTATCCTCCTCCTCGACCTTCTCTTCTTCTCTTCCTCTCCTTCTTCTTTTTCTTCTTCTTCCTCTGCTTCTTTCTCTCCTCCTTCCCTTCTCCTCTCCTCCTTCCCTTCTCCCCTCCTCCTCTTCTTTCCTCCTCCTCATCGTTCTCTCCTCCTTCCCTTTTCCTCTCCTCCTTCCTTTCTCCTCTCCTCCTCCTCTTCTCCTCTCCTCCTTCTCTTCTCCTTTCCTCCTTCTCTTCTCCTTTCCTCATTCTCTTCTCCTTTCCTCATTCTCTTCTTCTCTCCTCCTCCTCCTCCTTCTCCTATCCTCCTTTTCCTCCTTCTCCCCGTCTCCTCCTCCTCCTCCAGTCTCCCCCTCCTACTCCTCTTCATCGTCTCCTCCTTGTTTCCTTCTTCTACTCCTTCTCCTCCTCCTCCTCCTCCTTTTTTTCTCCTCCTCATTCTTTCTTTTTAATTTTGCTTCTTCTCATTCTTTCTACTACTTCTCTTTCATTCTCCTTCTTCGTTCTTTTTTTCTTCTCTTTTTTCTCCTTCTCACTCTCCTTCTCCTTCTCCTTCTTTCTCCTTCTCACTCTTTCTCATTCTCATTCTTTCTCCTTCTCCTTCTCTTTCTTTTCCAT